TTCTTAGACTTTGTCCTAAAGAAAAGAATTGTATCATGTGTGTTATTATTAATAATAAAGGATCACCCATCCTTTTCAGAACAGGGATGAGTCATTTATTTATTCAGTGTGCCCATTGTGTTTTGGGCAAAAATGCATTTGACAAGGCCTTATCTTAAAAAAAGGGGGGGGGGAACAACCTTTAAACAATGGTTTAGCCATATATGTGGAAATCTAAAAGCTGAAAATCTAAAAGCTGTGGAACTCCCTCCCCACAGAAATTTGTCTGGCACCTTCATTACATAGTTTCTGGTGAATACCAAAATGTACCTCTTTACCCTGGCTTTTGATACCCGAGGTGTATATTTTTAGGACCCAACTTATTTTTGTTGCTGTAGATTGTTTTAAACTGTTTTTAATGTTGTTTTTTTACTATTGTAACTAACCCTGGGAGCTTTGGGTAAAGGGTGGGTAAATGATGATGATGATGTTAGCTGGTGTCAGTGCCAGATTTACATATAAGCTAAGCAAGCTATAGCTTGGGGCCCCACTCTCTTGGGTCCCCCCCCCATATACTTTTTCTTAATTGCATTTCACTATTAATATACTTCTTAATTGTATTTCAGTTCAACAATTACTTTGATAAAATACATTTTTTGTTATGTGCAAATGGCTTTAAATACATATCAGGTCCATAAATTACCATATAGCATATATTCAACACAAAAAACAGCGACAATTTGTTGTTGACAAAGGACAGCTGGACATATAAAGAGCCCCATTACCTTCAGTAGCTTAGAGACTCATCAAACCAAAATCCAGCCCTGGCTGGTATAAGTAAATTAAGCAAAGTTACACCACTTTCAAACCCTGTGTAGCAGTGGGGCTGTTGCTGGTAGAAGGAAAACAAGCTTTTAAAATATTGTTTCATGCAGGATTTGCTGGTCACATAACTTAGCTGAAAGGGTTTAGAATCCAGGCTAAGTCCACCTCCTCCCTGGTCTTGCCATGGTATACTCCCAGGGTGCCCCTTTTCTAGGACTTACACTGCCAGCTGTGCCTGTGTTTAATGCCATGTAAAATCAGAAATCTCTCATTTTCATGATTTTGGGCTCATGATTCCTAGCTCACTAACATTAAGTCCCCAACAACCCCAGTTCAGCCAAAGATATGTCAGTGTAACTGCCTTATTCCATGTCAGGCAGGGCTTAGCTGACTGAACCAAGTTCATTGCAAGTATCCAAAAGAAGTGTTGTGTGAATATGGAGTAGGTAGGATTGCAGGGAGTGTAGAGGCTGGAGCCTAGGACCTTTCTGATTGGTCACATAACCTGGAAACCCAGCATAGAAACCTCTTTTAAAGGCTTGTTTTTGCACCACTAGTTTTAAGCACAGAACTTTATTCTGGCTTAATTTACATTGGTGTGCTTTATGCCAGCTTCTTGTGCAGAGGATTGGTTCCATCATGGAAACAACTGCAGATAAATCATGGAATACTCTATCCCTAAATCCCATTTGAGAATATTTTGTCACATATTGATAGAAAGAATGTTAGTACAAAATATGCTTATCTCCCAGATAAAAAGAGCAGAAACACAATCATCAAATAAGAAGAAATAGAAATGGTGTATAATTCAATTCAGTTTAACAATGTCACAGGCAGAAGGTTGCTTGGTATTTAAAAATACTCCAGCTATGCTAGAGTGCATTAATTTAAAGGGGGAAAATAAGGAAATATTTCAATGGTATCTTACTCAACATAAACTGAGCAAAAGATGCAGTCAAAATATGTACTGTTGGAGATGTAAAAGAACTACTACAGACTTTATACATATTTTGAAACTGTGTTAAAACAATACATTTGGAGGCTACAATTCTGCATGATTATGTCTTACCATGATCCCCAAAAACAGTCCTCCTTTGCATGCATTCTGAAGTTATAAATGCTGATCTACAACTAGCAAAAAACATTTTGACAATGGTAAAACTATGTATAGCCCAGCAATGGAGAATTCCCCCATAACTGTAGAATGGCTGAAGAAAACTTGAGATAATATTATGGTGATAAAGCTGACATACAATAGAAATAATATAAAATATAATCTTCAAAACAGGTTTATGGAGAGATGTGCCTTTCCCATTCAATTTTGGAATAAAAATGTCAGATGAAATAACCCCTTATAACTGATATAAATTAATCCATCTATATGTAATGATACCTTCCTTTCTTTTGTCTCACCCTTCTAAAAACTTCTTCTATTATACCCTGCTTTTTAATTTCATATCAATGTATTGTAATACTTATTAGAAGAAATAGGAAGGGATTGTGAAGGCCATTAAATGATATGAGGTGAATGAGGAAAATGTGGAATATAGAGTGGTCATGAAGAATAAGAAAGCAACGTAAGCAAAAAATAAATAAATCACAGAAATGTCAAGCACATCATGTAAAGGAAAAACCATACACAATTTTAATAAACCTGCTATTAAACCTAAATACAAAAAAAAAAAAAAATCCTGTTCTCTGATCATGTTGCTGCTTGTATAACATATGTGATTCTATTCAGCCTTACATAATTCCTTACATAAGTTCATCTGTCATCTTTGTTGTTGGCTGATTGTCGAATGGTATTTCATCAAAGATGAAGGTGTTCAGTGAGGCAATCATGTCAATGTTTATATCCCCTTTCTTATAATACTGGTGTGGGACCAGGAATGGATCAATCATGGTGCACATAGGAGCTGGCGCCTTGCAGTCAATTTGAGGGAGACCGAAAATGAGAAGCAGAAAAGCAAATACCACTATCATCCTGGGTGAATTCATCAAGAAGAATGCCTTGAAATGATCTATTATCGGCTACCAGACTGGATACATCACTGAAGATCAGGTGGGCAGCTGCAGCTCTGCCCGTTCACCAACCAACACACCAGCACTTAATAGACTGGATATTTTTTATCAACTTTCAGACTGTGTTATTGATTGTGCTTGTGAGCTCCAGAAATACATAGGAGGCTTGAGCAGATGGATGATGTCCCTGAGTAATTTGTGATAATTAAAGGTTCCAGACTAATCTCCCAACAGTATTGCATTGTGCAATACATGACTTGCATCAGAAGAAGAGAAGAAAATATGTTTGATATACAGTGGTACCTCAGGTTACATACGCTTCAGGTTACATACGCTTCAGGTTACAGACTCCGCTAACCCAGAAATAGTACCTAGGGCTAAGAACTTTGCTTCAGGATAGAATCATAGAATCATAGAATCATAGAGTTGGAAGAGACCACAAGGGCCATCGAGTCCAACCCCCTGCCAAGCAGGAAACACCATCAGAGCACTCCTGACATATGGTTGTCAAGCCTCTGCTTAAAGACCTCCAAAGAAGGAGACTCCACCACACTCCTTGGCAGCAAATTCCACTGTCAAACAGCTCTTACTGTCAGGAAGTTCTTCCTAATGTTTAGGATGAGAACAGAAATTGTGCAGCAGCGGTGCGGCAGCAGTGGGAGGCCCCATTAGCTAAAGTGGTGCTTCAGGTTAAGAACAGTTTCAGGTTAAAAACAGACCTCCAGAACGAATTAAGTACGTAACCAGAGGTACCACTGTATCTCAGCAATCCTTACAAAGCAATCCTGCCAGGCTACAACTACTACTACTACTACCATTACAGTCATATCTTGGAAGCTGAATGGAATCCATTCCCAAAGTCCGTTCAACTTCCAAAACGTTCAACTTCCAAGGCATGGCTTCTGATTGACTGCAGGAGCTTCCTGCAGCCAACTGGAAGTCACGGAAGCCCCATCAGACATTTGGCTTCCAAAAGAACATTCACAAACTGAAACACTTGTTGATGGATCTCAACCAAAACTCTCTGCTACTGGCTCCTTAGTCTGTGTAGTCCAGGATGACGACTCAGGAACATAACGTGCTGAACAGTAACTTGATTTGTATTTGTTTTCATTATATACAGAGTATAGCACAGTTTTGTACAAGTTACTATATACAGAGACTCGATTCAAACTCTATACACCAACCTCTGAACTCTAACACCAAACTACTGTGTCATGCTGCTTATAAGGAAAAACTTTTAGCCAATCATCACCTGTTGCTAGGCTTACCTATCTCCAAGCAGACTTTCGCATGTACTCTTGCTTAATTTGGCTTCTTGCCAACTCACTAATTGTCCACTTCAAAGCTGCAGTTTCTCACAAACCTCGACAACACTCACTTCCAGATTTGCGGCATTTGGCAACCAAAATGTTCGACTGCTAAGGTGTTCGTCAACCAAGGTACGACTGTATTATTATTTCATTAAATTTTTATACCACTATTCATTCGAGGATCACAGGGAGGCTTCCAATATAGAATATTACAATAAAGTGTATTACAGTGTGATTGTGGATGGAATATATGTTTTAAATACCTGAAGGAGGAAGAGTAGAAACTCATATCCACAACAAGTTCACCAGTAGCTGTGTTTATCTGATACCTCTTAGTTAAACATTGACCAGAGGAAGCGGACATGGAAGAACAAGGCTACTCCTCCCACTGAGTCCACCCAAACAGTACAACTGCTAAGGTTAGATTCAGTGCCTAAATTGCCAGCCTGACAACAGGACAGAGAGTCAGTAACTCTGTTAACACACAACTTTACTATTACTTGGTTTCTTCTGGCGGAAGACAGATGGATGGGAAATCTTGACTATAACAATGTTTTGTATTATCTGTTTATTGAAAAATACATATAAGTAACAGAGAAAAAGTAATGCAGAGTTCCAAAATTAAATAATAACAGCAAACCAGTGTGCCAAATTACTATTTTGCTTGAATATTGAAATATCTTAACCATGACAAAGAATGAGAAGGTGGAGGGCTATGGGAAGACCCCTTTCCTGTTAATATGTTCAAATAAGGGGAAACAATCTATATCATCAGATTTAGCCTCACACATGCATCAGGAGACTTCCAATGATGGGCAAGAAATGGCAGCCACTAGCAACACTAAGACTAGGTTTTTATGTGTGATGGATAGGATGGCATTGTTCTCTAAGGAGAGAAGAGGCAAACATGGATCAGCAAGCAAGTTTTTGTACCGAGTTTGGCCGTGTGGTGCAGATTGCTGACTCACCAGTATGCGGGATAAGAGGGACTAACAGCTCAAATGGATTATGGAGAGACATGTGGAATAAGAAAGAGTGTGTCTTTGAGATTTTATGATAATGTTTACACATTTTGCTTGGCATTTCAATTGGGAGGCCTCATTCTTGTTTGCCATAATGGGTCAACCGCCATTAAAAGTACCATGGAAAGACCTATAAGGCATTCATTATACAAATATAAGACAAATTTACTTACTATTTGTAATTGAAGGAATACACTTACATATTCCTCCTTGTTAGCTGATCTTTGGTGTTTAGGGAAGGCCTCAGAATAATTATGTAGCATTTAGGAACAAAAATACAGCCTACTAACCCAGCACTGGAGACCCAGATGGAGAAGATCTCCACAGCCACTGTGTATTTCCCCTTAGTGCTCAGGTATGCTGGAACAAAGGACAACCAAACACTGCAAAACACCAGCATGCTGAAAGTGATGAACTTGGCTTCGTTGAAACTGTCTGGCAACTTTCTGGCTAGGAAAGCCACAGTCAGGCTGACAAAAGCCAGAAATCCCAAGTATCCCAGAACAAAATAAAACATTGTGATTGACCCTTCATTACATTCTATTATGATTTCTTCAACCAAAGAGTTCATGTTGAAATTTGGGAATGGGGGTGCAGTAGATAGCCATATACTACAAATAGTGACTTGTATGAGAGAACAGCCAAGAATAATAGAAATAGCCAATTTTCTCCCCACCCATTTCCTCATTGTGGATCCTGGCTTAGTTGCCATGAAAGCCAGAACCACAGTGATTGTTTTTGCCAGCAAACAAGAAACAGCTACTGAAAATATGATGCCAAAAGCAGTTTGACGTAAATAGCAGGTCACCCACTGAGGCTGGCCAATGAATAGTAAAGCACAAAGATTGCAGAGGCACAGGGAGATGAGGAGAAAGAATGATAGAGCTCGATTGTTGGCTTTGACAATGGGAGTGTTCTTGTACTTGATGAAAATTCCTAGTACCAAAACTATGGTGAAAGAAGCAGCCAATATAAAAAAAACTAAAGTGGTGCCCAAAGGTTCTGAGAAAGAGAGGAAGTTCATGGACTTGGGGAGGCATTGGTGCCTGTTCTTGTTTGGAAATTCATCTTCTGGGCATTGGAAACAGTCATCTATATCTGAAAAACAGAACAAATTATGTGTCTGTTCCTGTCTGTGCAATTATATTTTTCCAGATCTGCAGCTTCTGTATGAAAATGTATACAGAAATATCTTATTCTCCTGAAGGCATCTATAGGGATGATTAATAATCCCCCCTAAGTGTTTAAAACCAATTTACTTCTAAGTATATATCAGTAAGTGCTCCAATAGGATTTGCAGATGCCAAATCCTACTACAAGGGATTAAGCAGGAAAGTGAATATCTCTTACTTCCCAAACAAAACCATTCAATAACTGTTACTCTGTATGATGGGATTATGAGCTGCTTGTGCGTAAAATCGTATTCCCTCAGAGTTTGTTCAAGTCCACAAACCTCTGTCTGTGACTGAGCCCCTCTGACATGGCTCCTCTTAGTCACTAGAAGATTCCGACAGTGGTTGCTTTCGTAATCGCTTCCAACATAAAAGCTCCTTAACGGAAACACGTCTTCTGGACTCTCTGCGTGACAGTTTCCGGCGAGGAGTGGGTGTCGCTACAGGAGGTCCGGAAACCTCACCACTGTTTTCGCTGGAAGTATCTCTGAGCCATCCCCCCAGCTCCCTGTCCCTCAGTTCAGCTTCTCTCCCCTGCTGGTTTCCTCTTCAGCTGCTAAGTCTCTTCCAACCTGTCTGAGCCCTTTCACCTCCCTCAGTTCAGCTTCTCTCCCCTGCTGGTTTCCTCTTCAGCTGCTAAGTCTCTTCCAACCTGTCTGAGTCCTTTCACCTCCCTTCCTACCGATGGCAGTTCCCTGACATCCACCTCCCCTCCAGGGCCCCCTTCACCCCCTCTCGCCCCCTCCTCTACGGGCGGTGAGGAGGCAAAACCCCGGAATGAACTTCCTTCATCTTCCGATGTCTCGAACACTTCTCTCCACCTGTTGCGGTTCCTGGTCTCGAAGCACTCCTCCTCCTCCGAGTCCATCTCCCCTTCACCAACCGATTCTGGGAATCCTTCCAACTCCTCCTCCTCCTCAGTGGTCCCAAAGTATTCCCTCCGGAACCTCTCCACAGGCTGAGGTTTCCGCGGGAACCTTTGATGGAACATTTCTATCAATACCTCGTCATTGATATCTTTGGCCATTACCCACGTGTTTTCTGACTCCGGTTCTCCTTCCCACGCTACCAAATACTCCACCTGATTCCCCTTCCACCTGGCATCAAGGATTTCTGCCACATGACTGCTGCATTCTCTTTCTTCTATGACCGGTCCCCGAGTGGCCATCCCTTCTCGTCCCCCCTCGTACGGTGACAGTAACGACCTGTGAAATACTGGGTGCAGTTTCATGTGGTTGGGTAACCGGAGCCTGAAAGCCACTGGGTTGACCTGTTGAATGACCTCAAAGGGACCCAACCTCCTGGGTCTTAATTTCTTACAACCTCCTTTGAACGGCAACCCTCGGGTTGACAGCCACACCCTCTCTCCAACCCTTATGGTTTCACCTTCCCTTCGGTTCTTGTCTGCCTGCCTCTTGTATTCTTCCTTCGCCCTTTCTAAGTTGAGTTGGAGCTGACGGTGGATTGCTTCCATTTCTTCTACAAAATGCTCGGCTGCCGGTACGCTCCATCTCTCCCCTTCTCCCCTGGGAAAGCCCTGGGATGACACCCATAATTAGCCAAGAAGGGGCTCATCCCTGTGGACACATTCTCGGCATTGTTGTAGGCAAATTCCGCCAGCGCCAACTTTTCTACCCAGTCATTCTCTCTGTCATTGACATAACACCTCAGGTATTGCTGGAGGACACCGTTTGCTCTTTCCGCCTGCCCGTTGGTTTCAGGGTGCCGGGCAGTCGAAAAGTTGACCTCCACCTGCAGTAAGCTCATGAGCTTCCTCCAGAACCTGGAAGTAAATTGTTTTCCTCGGTCTGAGACCACCCTCAATGGCACCCCGTGCAACCTAAAAATGTGTTCTACAAATAACCTTGCTGTCTCTTCCGCCGTGACTGCATGCGAGCAAGCTACAAAGTGGCACATCTTTGTTAGTAGGTCTACCACCACCATGATGGCTGTTTTCCCTTTGGACTTCGGCAGATCAGTCATAAAATCTATCGACACTGCCTCCCAAGGTCGTTCTGGTGTTGGTAAGGGTTCTAATAGCCCCGCCGGCGCCCGCCTTTCCCCTTTGGCTCGCTGGCACTGCTCGCACCCTCTTACATACTCACGTACATCCTCCCTCACCTTAGGCCACCAAAATTCCCTGGTGACCAACCACATGGTTTTGTGTTGCCCAAAATGCCCCGCCGTGGGGCTGTCATGCAACTGCTTGAGTACCCTCCCCTTAAGTCTCCTTCAGGGATATACAGTGCCCCTTTGTAATACAAAGCTCCATTTCTTTCCTCGAAACCCCTTGATTCCTCTCCCTCATCCCTAAGACCTCTAAGCTTATTCTGGGCGTATTCATCATTCTCTGTTTCTTCTACCAGTTCTCTTTGTCCCACCAATGCCGCCCCACACACCCAGCGGTCCTCTGGAATGACATGTCTCTCTTCGGGTGCTCCCTCCCCTTCCAAATATTCAGGTTTGCGTGAGAGAGCGTCCGCCCTAATATTCTCTGGGCCTGGCACGTAACAAATCTCAAAGTTAAATTTGGAGAATTCCTGAGCCCATCTCACTTGCCGTTGGTTGAGCACTCGTGCCGTCCTCCAATACTCTAGGTTCTTGTGGTCAGTGCACACTTGCACCTTATGTTGTGCGCCAATTAGCAGGTGCCTCCATCTCCGGAACGCCTCATGAATGGCTAGTAGTTCTCGGTCATACACCGTGTAGTTCCTCTCGGATTTGTTCAGCTTTCGCGAAAAAAGCACACGGTCTCCACTCTGACTCCTCCTTCCCTGGCTGGAGAAGCACCGCCCCAACCGCTCTGTCTGATGCATCAGTTTCCACTCTCATCGGTTTTTGTAAATCCACATGCAGGAGCTGTTGTTCCGAGGCGAAGGCCCTTTTAGTTCCTCAAATGCTTGCTCCGCCTCCTCCGTCCAAACGAACTTCTTCTTACTGCTGAGACAGTCCGTAATGGGCGCCGTCAGGTGGGCAAAGTTTGGGATGAACTTACGATAGAAGTTCCCAAACCCTAAAAACCTCTGCACATCCTTCCTTGTTTTGGGTGTTTTCCATTCCAGTACCGCCTGGACCTTGCCGGGATCCATGGCCAACCCCTTGTCAGACAGGCGATACCCCAGGAATTCCACCTCCTTGGTATGAAACTGACACTTCTCCAGTTTCACCCACAGCTGGTTGGCTTGCAGCCTGCTCAACACTTCTCTGACGTCTCTCACATGCTGCTCCTCATTCTCAGAATACACCAACACGTCGTCTAAGAAGGCCACACAATTCTTGTAAAGCAACGGCCCCAGGACGTGGTTCATAAACGATTGAAATGTTGCGGAGCCTGCTTGTAGACCGAAGGGCATAACTAAGTATTCAAATGCCCCTAAAGGGGTGAACATGGTGGTTTTCCATTCATCCCCTTCCTTATTCGTATCAGGTTGTACGCCCCCTTAGATCCAGCTTGGTGAAAATCTTTCCCTTTCGCACCCTTGTCAAAATGTCGTCAATCCTGGGCATCGGGAAGGCCACTGGTTCTGACACTGCATTTAAGGCCCTGAAGTCACACACCAGTCTCGGCTTGTTCGTGTTTTTTTGTCCACAAAAACACTGGGCTGCCCCCACCGCCCTGGACTCTCTGATGAACCCTCTCTTCAGGTTCTTGTCAATGAACTCTCTTAGCTCCTGCATCTCTCTGTCTGACATGGCGTACAGCTTGCCCACAGGGAGCTGTGCCCCAGGGAGCAAATTGATTTGACAGTCAAAGGCTCTATGCGGTGGTAGTTGGTCAGCTTCCCTTTCGCTGAAGACGTCGCGGAGATCTGCGTATTGTCGTGGTACCTTCACGTTCTCCTTCACTTCAGTCCCTGCTAGGGTGGCTTGGGCCCCTGCCAAAACCTTTCCCTCTTTGCAATGTTCTAAGCAATGTGCTGACCCAAAAGAAACCACTCTCTGATGCCAGCCCACCAGCGGATCATGTAACGCTAGCCAGCTCATCCCCAATATAATGGGAGCTCCTCCCAAGGTGGCCACATTAAAAGCTATCAGTTCAGTGTGCCTTGCCACCTTCATTATCATTGGGACGGTCTGCAAGCTGACTTCTCCTCCCAACAGCTCCCTGCCATCGATCGTGGTTACCTGCAGGGGGTTGCTTAAAGGGAGCGTCTGTATCTGGTGTTCAGCTGCAAACTCTTTGCTCATGAAATTGCAGGAGCTGCCTGAGTCCAACAGCGCCTTTATCTTTAGAGGGTGTCCGTTTGGGAGCTCTAGTGTCACTTCTATCACTAGGGCGGGTTTAGGAGGTTCTGGAGTGGGCACTTTCACTGCTCTTTGGCCTGGCTGCTGTGCCCCGACAATGGCAGCCAGGCGTTGGCTTTTAGTTGCTCCGGTATTTTTTCCTCTCCTCCCTCCACAGCTCCCACCATCCCTTGCCATTCCTTCCTCTGGGGGCAGACTCTGGCAAAGTGCCCTGGCTGTTGGCAGAGATAGCATTTCCGGGCGCCTTTTCCATCCTTCTTTCCCCCTTCACTGGGCTTTGAAACTGCGCGCGCGCGCTGTTCCGATTTCCATCGGCTCTGCCGGCGGGACAGTTGGCTCTGGAATTTCTGGAATGCGGAACTCCTTCCAACGTTCCCCTTTCCCTTCCCGCCTCTCCAATGCTCTCGCCTCCTGGCGCGCTCCTATGGCCAGCGCTGATTTGGTCAGCTGGTCCATAGACTCCGCCCTGGGCGCCCGGGAAAGTTCATCTTTCACAGCCGAAGAAAGCCCTTCTTCAAAGAGCATTTGAATGGGTTCCGCCGATAAGTCCCACCCCAATCTGTGTATCAGCATGGTGAACTCAGTCCAGTACTCACGTACAGATCGGCTCCCCTGTTTGCAAGCCATTAACTGTCTGCGCACCACTCCCTTTTCAATATCGCTGGAAAACATCAGATCCATGGCGCGAAAGAACTTCATCGTGTCCTTTAAGACGTCACTATTAGCTGCCATCAGGGGTCTAACCCAGTCTCTCGCCCCCTTTTCAAGATGCCCAATCACAAAAGCCACTCGTGATTCCTCATCAGGGAAATCATCAAACTGCAGATTGAGGGCATATTGCATTTCTGTCCGAAAGCTATGATAGTCTTTGGGCTCCCCCCCAAATTTTTGCACCAATCCTGGTACCTTTCGGGCGAGCTGGGTGGCTTTCTCCCTTTGTCTGCATCTTGAGCCCTCCTCTCCTCCAGCCTCGCCGTCTGCAGCGCCAGCTGGACCTCCAACACTCGGTACCTTTCTTCCAGGCTTGGACCCGCTCCAGCCCCTGCTTCTCCGGTTCCTGCTGGGTTGCTCATTATGCCTTCTCCTGCACAAGCTGCGTTCAAAGACTGTCGGAATGCTGTGATGGGATTATGAGCTGCTTGTGCGTAAAATCGTATTCCCTCAGAGTTTGTTCAAGTCCACAAACCTCTGTCTGTGACTGAGCCCCTCTGACATGGCTCCTCTTAGTCACTAGAAGATTCCGACAGTGGTTGCTTTCGTAATCGCTTCCAACATAAAAGCTCCTTAACGGAAACACGTCTTCTGGACTCTCTGCGTGACAGTTTCCGGCGAGGAGTGGGTGTCGCTACAGGAGGTCCGGAAACCTCACCACTGTTTTCGCTGGAAGTATCTCTGAGCCATCCCCCCAGCTCCCTGTCCCTCAGTTCAGCTTCTCTCCCCTTGCTGGGTCCCTCGTCAGCTGCTAACTCTCTTCCAACCTGTCTGAGCCCTTTCACCTCCCTCAGTTCAGCTTCTCTCCCCCTGCTGGTTTCCTCTTCAGCTGCTAAGTCTCTTCCAACCTGTCTGAGTCCTTTCACCTCCCTTCCTACCGATGGCAGTTCCCTGACACTCTGCAATTTGGCCGGCTTAATCTACTCCTGCAGGTTGATGCCCCTGCAAATTCTAATCACTTTGGCCAGAAGGGGAGGGAGCCATTTGTAAATTTCACATTATAATGCAAGGGGGGGGGGACAGAAGTTGGCTAGCAGTTAAGTTAGTTACCAAGCTAAGTGTGCACAGAAAATATCTTGTTTTGTAAAGAGCAAAACATTCATGTATCTGAAAAATGATTTGGAATATTTACCAATAATAGAATATATCTTTTCCCCCTAACATTTATTGGATGGAAATGGGGGAGGAATTTGAGAGACTATCAACAGAACAAGGTTCGTCTTAATATTGCATAGTATGTTCACCATTTTGTTTCTCTTACCCATTTGGTCTGAAATCTTTCCATCTGGACATGGAGCACAATCATAGCAACAAAATGGCTTCCCCTCTTTCTTTTTTCTGCTATAGCCTGGGGGGCAATTTTCATTACACTTGGCAAGGGGTAGCACCTAGCCATAAAAAGAAAAGGGAAAATTAATTTCTGATATATTTGATTTATAGCAAGAAAAAACCAGTCCCGTGGAAAGAGCACATTTTGAAGCAATTAAAGCTTCTCACTTCTCTTCAAGGACAGCCACATGAATAATGTGTTATATCAATATAACCTGGCAGCAGCCTTCAGAAAACCTTATATAATGCAACCTAATTTCCTTGTCATTGTTACAGCCACAGAGAACAAAACTTATAACTTTGATGGTTGATGCTTATATGAAACTTTCAGACAACCCAGAACACTGCTGACATGAATTACACTTCAGGGTGGAAAAGCTTCCTATGTAATTTTAATTTATTTATTTCATAAAATCTATACACCACTTGATTGTAAAACAAAACAAAACACCACACACCTCAAAGTGGTTTACAGAAAGATTAGACAATAAAATTGAGAAAAAAATTACAACCATAATTAAAGGTAAAGGTACCCTGACCTTTAGGTCCAGTCGCAGATGACTCTGGGGTTGCGGCGCTCATCTCACTCTATAGGCCAAGAGAGCCGGCGTTTGTCCGCAGACAGCTTCCGGGTCATGTGGTCAGCATGACTAAGCCGCTTCTGGCGAACCAGAGCAGCACACAGAAACGCCGTTTACCTTCCTGCTGGAGTGGTACCTATTTATCTACTTGCACTTTCTGGCATGCTTTCAAACTGCTAGGTTGGCAGGAGCTGGGACCGAACAACGGGAGCTCACCCCATTGCGGGGATTTGAACCGCCGACCTTCCGATCGGCAAGCCCTAGGCTCTGTGGCTTAGACCACAGCGCCACCTGTGTCCTTACAACCATAATTAAAGACATACAAAAGTTAAAATACTAAAACAGATTAAAATTACCTCAACTTTATCAGCATCTAGGTAGGCTTGCTTAACAGGAAAGTTTTTAGCAGACACCAAAAGGAGTACAGTGAAGATACCTGCTTGATCTCAATAGGCAGAGAGTTCCAAAGTGTATTGCTGTCACTAAAAATGATCAAGGAATGGGTATTATGTGGCACATGTAGCAGTGCCAATTCTGCCAATCAAATAAGCTGAGTGGGCACATATGGGGTAAGGTGATCTCATAGGTAAGCTGGTTCCAAGTTGTTAAGGGCTTTATATACTAACAGGGGACTAATCCACACTGGTCAGTATAAAATGTTACAAATGCATGTAAAATCGCCAATGTAAAATTGCACTGAGATCTAGATAATATTTCTTTTATAGTAGTTTTACAGTCTGTATAGATCCAGCCAGTAACACCCTAAACTTGGCCTGGCACAAAATAGGCAACCAGTGCAGATCTCTGAGCGTATGTGTGACATGCTGACAATGCTTCCCTCCTGTCAGCAATCATGCTGGAGTATTCTCCACTAACTGCAGCTTCTAGATCAAGTGCGAGGGAAGCCCCTCATAGAGTTCATTTCAGTAACCCAGTTTTGAAGTAACCAATGTATGAGCTATGGTGGCAAGGCTTTTCCGATCCAGGATTGGCTGTAGCTCTGGTAAAAGGGATTTCTAGCCACTGAGGCCTCCTGAGCCTCCTGTGACAGAACTGGATCCAGAAGCACCAGTAAAGGGTGAACTTTCTCCTTCAGGGGCAGTGTAACCCCTTTGAGGGTAGGCAGCTGACCAATTTCTCAGACACGGGAGCTCTTCACCCACAGCGCCTCCATCTTGCCAACATTCATGCTCAGCTTGTTTGTCACCATCCATTTCACCAGTGCATCCAGGCAATGCTTCAGGGACTGTACAGCCTCTCCTGATTCAGATGTTATTGGGAAACAGAGCTGAGTGTCATCACTCATACTGATGGCATCTCTCTCTTTTTTTTAAATGATATTTATTGAGAATTTAAAATTACAGAAATAGAGAAGAAGAAAAAAAAGGAAAAGGAAAAAAGGTAGACAAAAAGAGAAATTAAACAATACAAGTCAATAAAAACAAAAAAGAAAAAAAAGAAAAAACAAAACACACAATACATCAAAACCAAAAACAAAAATAAACAAAAAATTTAAAAACAAATCCAATATTCCCAAATCTTTATCTTTCGTTAACTTGTTTCATCGACCTCCTCACACCTCCCTTTTTGTATTCTAGTTATTAATTATCTTAGCAAATCCTTTCCATCTTTCACTATATTCTGTCATTAAATTACCTTAATTTATTTTAACCTTATCTTACCATGAAAAGCCCTAAAGCTTAAAACTTCAAACTTATTTATACATAATTCCTTTTAACATTTCTACTAAAGCTAAATAGTTTCATTCCAACATTTTTCTAATACTCATTAATTTTACAGTGGTGCCTCGCAAGACGAAATTAATCCGTTCCGTGAGAGTCTTCGTCTAGTGGTTTTTCTGTCTTGCGAAGCAAGCCCATTGACGGATTAGCGCTATTAGCGCTATTAGCGGTTTAGCGGCTATTAAAGGCTTAAAGGCTTAGGGGATTAGCTGCTAAAAGGCTATTAAAAGGCTATTAAAGGCTTAGCAGATTAGATAAAGGGGGAAGCGAAAAATACCTCAAGACTCGCAAGGTATTTTCGTCTTGCGAAGCAAGCCCATAGGGGAATTCGTCCTGCGAAGCAACTTCAAAACGGAAAACCCTTTCGTCTAGCGGTTTTTCCGTCTTGCGAGGCATTCGTCTTGCGGGGCACCACTGTACAATGATTTTCTAAATGAATTTTAAAAACTTTCTTCCAATCTTCATCCATCGTCTCTTCTTCCTGGTCTCGGGTTTTATCAGTCCTTTCTATCCCTTCCATCTAGTCCATCAACCTGGTGACCTTCTATCCGAGGCTCTTAAGTCTTTTCCATGTCCCTTCTGCAGGTCTTCTTCATGTTTATACCTGCACTTTACTTTATCTTCTGCTGATCTTATTCTTAATTTCCTTCCTTTCTCTCGGGAGACTCCAACTTGACAATATCTTTATCCCTTCTCAACAAGTCAGCCCATTCTCCATAGTCAGCACTGAAATCCAAAAGATATTTGAAGGCATGTTTCAAAGTCCCTCCAAGGTTAAGGGCCCCACAACTCCAAACTCCCCTGGCCCAAAACCAGATCCGAAAAGTCAAAACATCCCCGCACAGGGGATCCATCCAACCTCCCATCTCCAGACCAAACAGCACTCCATCTCTCCAAATCTGACTTTCTCCAGGTTCAGTCGTCAGAAACAACAACTTATGTTCCTGCAAGGCCGCAGCTCTCTCCATTTCCACTACTTGAGGTTCAGCAACAACCTCCTCCTTCATCCTCACAACTTGCCCTGTCAAAGCACATACCTGGGTTGGTTCCTGAGTAGTTTCTGTATAGGTATTCACTGTTTGTCCAAAATTGCCAACTGCAACAGTCATCAAATCCATCTTCTCATGTAGCTGTTCCAGTAAAGCGCTTGTCTTGCAAAAAGCAAGCACTAAAGCTTCTTCTGGGCACATTCTTGTTCAAGGTCAATGTCTGGTCTCACGATCTTTAATCTCTACAGCTGTAGAATTCCCCAGATCGACTCCAGCAACAGTTTCACAAGCTCCCTCTAGAGGAAACAATTTCTGTTTGTATCCGTCTTTTTAAAAGCAGATCCAGCAACAAAAGTCCTTCCGTTTTTCAGATATTTTGTTCCTTTTAAGTGCAAAAGGGAATCAACATGTTTCTCTTTTTTAACTATCTGTCAAAAAACGTTTTATCCACAGTCAATGAACTTCCCCAAAGCGTCTGTCTCTGACACCCCGCTCCCAGGTTCAAGACGGTGGAAATTTATCTTACTTTACTCTCTCTTCTGCAGGTTTAAACAGTCTAAGATTTCCCCCCTCTTCTCCTGCTTCCAAGGGGGGTTTGGTAATTTTAACTGATGGAAATTTATTCCTTTACAAACGACTTTCCAGACTCTAGCTTGCAATGTCTTTGCTTCAATCTATTTACAAAAGCAGAAGGCGGACTTCCTGTTTAGACCTTCCCACTTTGGTGCCAAATTAAGAAGTTTCATAGTCCAATTTTCCGTTCTACTCACGGGCAGTTATTTAAAATCCAATTGTCCACAGGAAGAAGTCAGCGCTCTCCGGCAACAGCAATGTGGCTTCACTCCGTGAAAAGAGCAGTCGATTCGAAGCACCGCGCCATTCACCCCACGTCGCTCCGGATCCCCAAAACCGGGTTTCCCCGTGAGTAGGGGAGGCGCAAAAGGTGCCAGCCGAATCCCACGTCCACAGGCTTCTCCCGCCTGTGGTTTTTGGTGGGTCTCCGCCTCGCCGTGGCAGTCCAGACCCTAATTCTCACGAAGCGGATTCCTCCCGATCAGAGGAAATCCGCCATTGCCGGAGGCGCATCTCACCCTGAAACTCCAATGACTGCCCGCAATGATTTCAGGTAGATATTAAATGGCACTATAATATTTCCTCCTGCACCGATACATGGGCCTCACCTGATTAAACATGTAATGCCATGTGATAACCTCATTAATAGTGAATTCTTGATCCAGAGCAGCCCGTGGATCCATCCTTCCCACCTTCAGTTTTGAAAAAGATTGGTTTGGGAAAGTAACCCAATTTATTATATCAAATCCAGATGCTAATTCACCATTTTCATTAAAAGACACCGTCTCTCCACCAGTATTGTTAAATGAGATACTCCTTAGGAAATGGTGAAGCTAGAATGAAAAGAGACAAAAGCATATTTTATAAGATTATTTGAATTTTCATCCCATCCTTCCTTATATCATGATCCCAGACCAGCTTACAATAAAAATTAAAACAGATGATAATCACTAAATAATAATAAAGCTTCCACTTAGCCTTAAACATTAGAATTCATAGAGTACCAAAGGTCAGGGTGAAAATCCATGTTTTTAAATGGTACCTAAAATGAAACCAGGTTGACATCAGTAGTATTTGAGGGGATGGAAAGACACTCAAGAACTGTGATGACATTTAAAGAAGATAAATAAATGAGTAAGTTAATTTGGATATGGAGAAGATATTAAAAATAAATTTAAGGAACTGCAGAAAGAGGGGAAGGAAGTCAAGTTTTAAAGTGTCAGAATGATTGTACAACTGACATATGAGTTGGACCCAAACTAAGGCTGCAACACTGTACCTCTTACCTGAATGTAAATCCCATTTTTTAGATTCCCTATTATACCACTTGGGCAACACAAAACATTTTGGGCCTGCTATATATCCCTTCTCCAGCAAACAATAAATGCTAGGTGAGTGAAGCATCCCTTCACTGTCATGGAAATCAGTGCTTCTTCCTCCCTGGAGGCCAGGGCAAAATCACACACACTGGAAGGTGGGTGGGCTTCCAGAGGTACTACCCTTGATCTGGAAAGCATGTGGATGAGTGACTCGTTTGATATGTAGTCACATGTACAATGTTCATAGAAAGAGAGTGGAAGAAGCCAGAGTGTGGGGAAACAAGTCCAGGGATAGCACATGGAATATCTTGACTTCACACACACACACACACACACACACACTGCTGTGCCTTCAAATACAGGAATGGTGGGAGTGGAGAATCAACATATTCAAGGAAAAGAAATGAAATGTGTGGTGTGTAGGTTTACTCTGTAAACTGAGTGCCGCCACACACCGGAAAAGCTATTGCAAAAGAACTATTTTTCATGTAAAACATTACCTGCCAATATTGCAGGTTTGCAAGATCCAATTTAGCTCCATCTGGCATTGCTTTGCAGTGTTTTGACCTGGATGAAACCATTTCCTGTAAACTATGTGCTATTGCATGGACAGCATTGTAAATGCTGTAACTCTGGCCTATCATGCTCATTTCAAAGAGAGTCCCTGGGAGGCTATCCAACTTCTCTTCACCAGAGCAAACACTAGCACTTTCCTTGGCTGTTTTAGAATCAGGAAAGAAGCAGTTGAATGCCTGTTCCCAGAATATATGGAGAAAAATATCTTCTTTAGCTGAATTAGGATGTAGCGTCTGAAGGAATTCTCTAAACTCTGGCACTTCATTTGTGTGTATTGCAAAGGACAAGGCACCATCAAAGACTTGTATTTTAGAAGTCCTGCGCATTGTCTCTAATGTGAATTCCCACTGAGCTGTAAAAATCCACACTTTAAATATTGATGTCTCTGTAATACCTTTCAACATTGCATATAAATAAATTGTCCAGTTCAAAGATGGTACAGTGGGATTTTCTGCATTCACAACCAATACCTGAACTTCAGAGTTGGAGAGATAACTTGCCATGTTCAGGATGATGTCAAATGAGCTCAACGTATCTATAGCATTAGATATAGCTGGTATTTTTCCATTGAGGGCTATACAGATTCCATGCTTCAAAAGCAAGGGCATCAAAGTCTGCACAAATTTGTCACCATTATCATTCTCCATTGTAAGGATCCCAACCCATGTCCACTGGAAATGCCCAAGAAGCTTAACAATCCCTGTGTACTGATATTCTTCATTGGGAACTATCCGGTACAATGAAGGCAGTTCACTTTTAGCATCTACCACTGGAGCAATTACACAATAGGCAATCTAAGGGGAAGAAAATGAAATTCAGTTAAAGAAATAGTTAATTCAATTGAAATATGTCTGCACTAATAATATAGATATGCAACGATTTATTGTAATTATTTGCTAAGATAAAAAAGGAATGCTAACTAAATCTAAAAATGCTGATGCATTTTTAAAATGGCAGATATTCAAAATAGTTTAATGACTACGAGCTTTGTTTCTCATAGTATTAACATCTGTAGTTCTTTTCTTTGCCCAAATTGGGCATGTGGTCATCAATTGGCAGCACTGTGAACAGCTCAGAATTCCAGTGTGCCCTGGCTTGCTCAACCTCTCACCCTCCTCACATCATGCTGTTTTGTGGCTTTCCATGGACTACCAGCAATGGCATTTCTGCAGACCTGCTCTTTCAGCAGGTTGTTATAGTAGTTATGTTGTTATAGTTGTTTAAAATTGTGCACCTCAGAAGTGTTGTTAATATGTTCTTAGGTGTGTTGCTAATCTTGGAAATAAAATCACAATAAACTGCCTGCCTTACAAGCATATAGTGACAAGAACTGGACAATCTGAATTTTCCTGACCCTGGACTTCTTTCTTTCTTTGGTAACATGAATAAGAGTTTGGATTTGATATCCCACTTTATCACTACCCTAAGAAGTCTCAAAGCGGGTAACATTCCCCTTTCCCTTCCTCCCCCACAACAAACACTCTGTGAGGTGAGTGAGGCTGAGAGACTTCAAAGAAGTGTGGCTAGCCCAAGGTCACCCAGCAGCTGCATGTGGAGGAGAGGGAAGGGAAACCTGGTACACCAGATTACGAGTCCACTGCTCTTAACCACTACACCACACTGGCTCTCATCGCCCACAAGGCACACAATGTAGCAAGCAACAAAGCAATAAAGCAATTGAACGTAACACAAAACATAAAAGAACAATTGAAAACATAGAAAAACATTTAAAAACTTACCGGTACATCTCTTGCTAGCTCACAAAAACCTTTCAAAAATAAATAAAAGAGAAAGAATTCTAAATGATATAAATGATTAAAAGTTTCATTGACTGCCAGCTCACTCTACCTGTGGTATTTTGTAGATGCTTAAGAGAGTGGCCATGTAAAGGGAGATTTCAGAGTCAGGGCCTCCAATGACAGCTATCAGATTATTTTGTTTATCACATTTGAAGTTGGGAACAGTCTTTTCAGAGGCAGACAGAAGTTTCAGGGTGTTCTGATGAGTCATTCTTGCATTTAGCAAGCTGTCATAAATTTTGACTCCAAGGCTGACATTTGGAAAGAGTCTGGGGTTCTCATTCATCTCATTCACTGCAAATACCAAGGACAGAACATGCTGGTAGTACTTTGGACTTGCCCTAAGGAAAGAATTACTTTAAAAATAAGACAGATATCCAGCTCTTCATCAACCACCTGTTTCATAAGAATTATTTGACAGGATGCCACTTTATACATGCCCATCACTGCGGTTGTTATTAGGATTATATGAATTGGACTGTGCCTCAGAAAGAATGATGAATTTGGATACATAAATCCCACTGAAATCAACAGGAAAAGCAATTCATGATTTAGTCATATCCCGTTGTTTTCAAAGAGAACTTGGGACAGCTAGCTTAATCTGGATACAAGCATATCCCTATCAAATGCATCTATTTAATTTCATCTGACTGAATAGCATAATCATTCCATTGTGACCAGAAGGTCAAATAAAGAGACAGAAATACAAGCTGGTGTTGAACTAGGACCACATTTTTAAGTGTTAAGACATATAAAAACACCTTCAGAGGGAAATACTATCAGTGCAGTATTTCCACCCATGAAGCCTCTTCCCTCTGATCACTTGGGTGAGAAAGAACAACTCAGCCTGCTTTCAAAACTGAACTTCAGTGAAATGCAAGCACCAGTTATTTAGCTGAGCCCAGCAGAGGAAACAGTGGGAACTTCAATGCTCATACTCTGTCTAGTTTGACACATGGAGAAATTTAGAAAGACTCTCCTCCCTGCAAGAGAGGGGAGTGGTTGTGGCCGGGAGCCGGACTCCGCCTCAAGCAGGGGGCGTTTGCCCCCTGCCTCCCACCCACCTGGCTGGCGCCCACGCCCTCGGCCAGGCACCCAACCAGGTGCCTTCAAGGGGGCGTGTACAGCAGCCTAAATTGCTGCGGCGCCAGCCTCCAGCCCTCACTTTTTGTCGTCCCGTCGCGAGTCACCCACCCTCCACTCCCTTAGAGCAGGGTTTCCAGTTTTCTTTTGGCCTTGCTATGGACCTTAGGTTGGTCGCCCTGGTTGTCCGGGGGGCCTGGTAGGAATTTTTCCATTTGGCATTAGGCCTTTTGGTTTTTTTGCCTACCTCGTAGCAATCGTCACAACTTTTGTGGTATTGGTGGGTAGGTTAGGCATTGGAATAATGTGTTGTGGTGTCGAAGGGCTAGGTGTGGCCATCGCCTGCGCCTTCAATTTTTGGGTATTCCGTTAAAGGAATCCGGTGGTCGTGTATTCTGTCCGATGCCTGCTTGGCGGGAGGCCATGGCACGACCCTTGGTGACATCAGGGGAGAGCTTATGGTTGGATTAGCATCAACAGGCTCCACCTACTGGTGAATAAACCCCTTTGTTTTTAGACTCACCCCTCTCCGAGTGGGTGGAGTCAGCTGACGTAATCCAATGCCTAAGCCAATACCTTTTCACTTGCTGTAATCAATAAAGTTGTGGCCTTTTCTTGCCCATTAACCTTATATCACGTGTCCTTGTGTTTCATTCCACTGCGCGGGGTTCGGGTCCTCGAACCACAACAGCATTTATCCAGTTGCGGATCTTTGTTTATTTGTTAAATAAAGTTGCAGTTTATTAAACTTATTTGGCATCCCCATTCTGGAGTATGGGGAACGATATCTGGCCTACTTTTCTTCTTGGGCTTTCTTTTTAGTTGTTGCCGCAATATAAATAATGCAGAACAGTGGTTTTTAAACAAAGTTTTTAAACGAAGTACATAGCTACAATGCAAATAAAGG